CCTGAATGTCGTAGGAATTCGTGTTATCATTCTTATAGCGTTGTGAATTACAAGTCTTCCAATTGTCGAGATCCAATCAATTCATCCGAAGAGGAGGTTTACACCATACCACGAGGATAAGATTCAAAGACCACAACCAACGCCAAACAAGAAGGAAACGAACAACGAGATGTCGCTTCTTTATCGTGGAAAGAAAATTAGAGATGTCTACACCATTCCACGAGGATAAGATTCAAAGACCACAACCAACGCCAAACAAGAAGGAAACGAACAACGAGACATGTCGCTTCTTTATCGTGGAAAGAAAATTAGAGATGTCTACGTTTGATGGAAACGATCTAGATAGTCAGATTATGAGAGTTGAACATTATTTTGCCCTATTTCGACCCTTTAATGAGAAACAAATTGAAGTAGCAACCATCTTCTTCGAAGGCGACAGTTGTGTTGGTTCCAGTGGGAGCACAAGAAGAGACCAATTTTACGGTGGTCGGAGTTGAAATCGATGTTGTTGCGGCAGTTTCAACCGTTGGCAGTGGGAACACTTTGCGAGCAATTCTTAGCACTCAAACAAAAAGGGTTGATCAAGGAGTATCGTCGAAAATTTGTAGCATTGCCTACTTTGCTCAACAGGATATCAAAATCTAAGCCAATTTGTAAATGGGTTGGACCCGATGATACGAACTGAGATAAGATTTCTTTCTCCAATGAGCCTAACGGGTGCGATGAATTTAGCAATGAATATAGTTGAGAAAAACAAGGTGACCAATCGAAATTGGGGACTAAGGAGTGCGATGGAATTTCGGTAACGAGTAAACCAACAAGAAATACAAATAGTACAAAGGAAGGAAAAAATTATGAAGATCGGCCGACAATGAATAGCAACAACAAAAAGTCCAAGAAATATGCTATCTTTGCAATAAGAAGTANTAGTACAAAGGAAGGAAAAAATTATGAAGATCGGCCGACAATGAATAGCAACAACAAAAAGTCCAAGAAATATGCTATCTTTGCAATAAGAAGTAAGCTCCCAAGGCACAAATGTAAGAGAAAAGAGGTAAAAGTTTTGGTGGTACAAAATGTGGGGGAAAACNAATATGCTATCTTTGCAATAAGAAGTAAGCTCCCAAGGCACAAATGTAAGAGAAAAGAGGTAAAAGTTTTGGTGGTACAAAATGTGGGGGAAAACGAGACGACAGAGAGGGAAGAAGATAACCAGAAGTTTTTTACAAACAGGATATGGAGGTATCAGTGAACTCAATTGTAGAACTCTTAATACCTAAAAGATGATGAAACAGGAAAGGGTTATAGAGGTCTAGAGGTCGTTGTGTTGATCAACAATGGTGCCTCCCACTATTTTGTATCGACTCTAGTGGATAAATTGGGTTATTGGTAAGAATAGCTGAAGCTTACGATATATCAAAGGGTGCAGGTGAGGCGATAAAAGGATGGCATGCTTGTCGAGAGGTAAAGGTGTGTTTGCAAGGGGTAGAAATCGCGTTGCCGATCGAGTTGGGGATTTGGATTTAATTTTAGGAATTCAATGACTTGCAACTCTAGGAGCAACAGTTACCTATTGGCAAACACAAGTATAAGATTCCAAGTGGCACAAAAATAAGTAATCTAAAAGGGGACCAAGCACTTAGGAATAAACCAGAATAAAATGGGCATTTTGATTGAACTAGGTAGTTCAAAAACCAACAAACATCGGAATAAACCAGTTACCCCTGCGATACAGTTGGTCTTAGACAAATCTAAGGAAGTGTTTCAAATGTCGGCAGGAATTGCATCGCAACAAGAGAAGGAACACGGGATCATCTTTTTTTTTGGGGGGGGGGGGGGGCTAGTCCGTCCGACTAACGTAATGTTGTATAGGTATCCTAAATTTTAATACAATGAAAAAGAAAAATTGGTTACTGAAATGATGAAAGCAGAAATCATCCAACACAATCAAAGTCCATTCTCTAACCTAGTGTTGCCCGTCAAGAAGAAAGACAGTTGTTGGAGGTTTTGCATGAATTATATAGCATTAAACAAGGGTATAGTTTCGAAAAAGTACCCTACACCAATCATAGAGGAGTTGTTAGATGAACTATGTGGCCAGTTGCTTTTCGTAATCGAATCTCAAGTCCAGTTACAACTAGATTCAAAGACAGCGTTTAGAACTCACGTTATGCCATTGGCACTACCCAATGCGCCAACGACTTTTCAAGCACCGGTGAATGACATATTCCAACCCTTCTTGAAAAAGTTTGTCTTGGTCTTCTTTTGACCATATTTTGGCAAACAAAGACAAGTCAGAACATGTTCAGCACTTGAAGAGGGTTTTACAAGTGTTGTGGAAAAATCGGTTATGTGTGAACCTAATAAAGTGTGAGATTGAGGCAGCATATAGTGGTTGATTCGGGACATGTGGTATTCGCAGAAGGGGTAGACATGGACTCTTTGAAAGTCGAAGCAAAGTTAAAGGGGCCCCAACCGAAGAACATCACTATGTTACAAGGGTTTTTAGGCTTGACCGAATACTATCGTAAGTTCATTTAGAAGTATGGCCACATTGCCCAACCTTTGATTGATTTGCTAAAGAACAGTTTTAGTTTTAGTTGGGATAAAGAGCCTATTGTTTATTTCCTAAAGTTAAAGAGGGCCTTGACCACGACCTCTACATTAGCTTTGCCAACTTTTAACAAATAGTTTGTGGTGGAAAGGACGCATCAGGTTTTGGGGTGGGTGTCATCCTAATGCAAAAGGGAAGACCAGTTGTTTTTCATAACTAAGTCTTGGGGCAGCATGCTCGTTTGAAGCCCATCTATGAAAAAAAGCTAATAGTGATCGTGTTTGGAAACTTAAAATTGCGTTCATACTTATCAGATCACCAATTTATATTTCAAACGGATTAAAGAAGTCTTAAATACCTGTTGAAGTGACAACTAGTTGGATTTACAATAGCCGCAAGGATTGATAACGTATTTCACGTTTCTCTGTTACGACATGCTATAGGATCTTGTGTGTCATCGGCGGTGTTAGCCCACAATTTTAACAGAGGATTTGAGCCAAAAGAGGTCTAGATTGTCGTCCAAACATGACGAACAAGACCACACCGTTGGAAGTTTAGATAAATTGGAAAGGGCTACAATTTTTGAAGCATCATGGGAGGATTGAGAGTTGCTGGAAGGCCAATTCCAAATTTTAACTTTTTGGACAAGGTGAAACTTTAGCTAAAGGGTAAGCCGGTGATTAAGTACATGTATGCCCGAAGACATGAGAAGTAAGAAACATAGACTATTTGGTAATTCCAAATGAGAATTAGTTGGGAAGTCTGATACTAGCTAATAGTTTAGAGGTTATAGCAATTAGAGAGGTAAATATATATTCATATAAGAATTGTCAGTGTAGAGGAGATATTAGAAATTTTCTTGTACTAACCATTGGTTGGGAATGGAGAGTCTACTGCCTCTCTCGAATGTTGTAGGAATTCGTGTTATCATTCGTATGGTGTTATGAATAGCAAATCTTCCAATTGCAATGATTCAATCATTCATACCTCATAAACTTTTCTTTAAGTTAGTTAATCTAGATGGTTTATTGTGTTATTCAACTATCAGTTTCTCTATCCTAAGAGGAAAAAAATTGTGTGCATCAATTAAATGTGCAACTTCGGCATTTAAAAGTTACTAAAATCTAAGTGCAATCTTTTATGTATGTGGGTATGTTAAATAAAGTAGACATAACTTGAGCAATACACATTATCAAATAATAATAGACATCAAACGAAAGAAAACTAATATAGGGTGGATAATATAGGAAAAAATGAAACATCCTATAGAAACAACGAAAAGGGAGCGGTAGGTATGAAAAAGATAATATAAGATGGATAGAAGTAGAAAATAGACACGATAACTAATAAACCAACTATTTGAAGAGTGAATATTTCATATTTTATATTATTGAATGATAACTATAAAATACTTTGTACCAAATTAGTCAAACTCTTCAAAAACAGACTAGATTGCACTTGCCCCCAAATCATTTGATCCGTATGTGATATCAAATATCAAGTCAAATATGTTTACTTAACAAATAGGTATAACAGATGCATATTCTACAATGCAAATCACCCCACACCTAATAAGTACTCGGTGTGGATATAGCTTTATAAGTCATGCATCAATACTCATTTGTATACAACACCCTTGAAGAACAAAATAACCTATTAAACCTTTCCATTATTGTGTCTTGTGTTCTCCAACTCACTACATAGAGGATCAAGTTGATTTTATCTTGCAAGCATTGTCAAAAATATCAGCTACTTAAACTCCAAAAAAGCATCTACTCAGTGAAAAAAAGAAGGTTCACAAGAAATACCAACCACCTTCTCATGAGCAAAGCAACAATCCACCTCCATATGTCTAGTGTCTTATGAAATATAAGATTATCACACTTGTAGCAACCAAATCTCGGATGTGTGTGAAAAGTTGCATTGTTGAAAGGAGTCAAGGCCGTTGACAAGGGTTTCCAAGTGTTGAATACATGAAAACAGAAAAGTTATATTTGGATCCTTTAATGATCAGGCCAAAGATCAATGTGGGAGTAAACAAGGGTCAAGGATATGCATGCATATGTAATACTTATTGTGATTTTTGCATGCTTATGTAATACTTATTGGGATTTTTCCATGCATATGTGATACTTATTGGGATTTTTGCATGCATATGTAATACTTACTGGGATTTTCCAAGTATGAGATCATAATAGAATGTGTACCTTAAAATGGTTGTAAGCCCATGTATTTACGCTGCTAAGATGAGCATAGGAGCTCTACAAAACATTATCCTTATCTCTTTAAAATCTGCTATCCATGAGTTATGCCTTATCCCATGATGGGTATGAGATAATTTAAAGAAACACATATTGAAGCTTTGAATAGGTTCACATATGGAAGGTAGAGAGTGATTCCAAACTATGTGTATAGCCACAATTAGAGTTTTCACAAACTATTCTACCTTTGAGTGTCGTTCTGTCATAGTTACAATAGATTCATCGGCAATTCCGGATTCTATTCGCTTGCCACAATCCTTGTACCGGAAAACAGGTTGCATATGCTGAGGCAACAGTCCAGATAAAATTAAAACCAACTAGCAGGATGCCTATGAGTTCTTTATACAATGCAAATGTTGTAAATATAATAAAGATTATAAATCATGATGTTTTCTTAAAGAAGCACCGGACAGCACTCAATATGATTCAAGCTAGTCACATTAAAAACCTACCTGAGCCACCCGTTGGTCATATTTTTGGACAGACATATTGTCCACAGAGACATTCGCCGGAACTTTTTGGCAACTATTAGATTTCGGACAACTACTGGTTTTTCCATCATTTTCAATAGACTTGGGACAGGATGATAAATTTCCTTCATGGTCCCGTTTTGCTTGCTCAACAAATGTAGCTGATGCATTATTTGCCACCACATTGCTTCCCTTGCCATCTTCATTGGCATAGGTTTCCATAGATCCCTCTGGGTTCATTGAATCTGCCACTTTGGGTAGGTCATCTTCGAAATTTGTCAAACTTGAATTGGCCAAGGGAGTAAGATCTGCAAAAACCATCTCAGAAAAATCAGCTAGATAATCATCAACTTATCATTAAGACTGCAAGTTTCATCATGTCTAGAGCTGTTATTTCCATGCTTGTTGTTACAAGGATTCAACTCACCGCTCATATGGGAAGTGAGTCTTTCGGGTTCAACTGCACCAGTAGTGATATTGCCTGTACGATCGTGTCGGGATAATTCTGAGTGGGATGATATATGACATTGGGACCTGGAGATCATAAAACAAACAATTAATCTTCAAGGAAAAGTGAAAGCAGTATGTATGAAATAAATATCAAAGAAATTAGACCTTTTCAACTCGGCAGATTGTTGATGTGCATGGATTCGAGGTGATGTGAATACAAGGGGAGGAGAATTAAGCCCTGAAAATACTTGTAAAGCTGATGTCCCCTTGACAGGCTTTATAGGAGAAAGATTGTTGATGTAATTAAAGATAGGAGAGTCCTGAAACAGGCAGAACCAAAATAGGACGAGAAAAATTATATCAGGAGTATTAACAGCAAATTAATAAAAAATTTAACTTTAGCACCCAGAGTGTGATCTTGAAGATAAGTGCAACGAGTATTTACATAAAAAGATGTACAGATTTGTAATCTCACAAACCCAAATTTTCCACATTAGTAAGTAAAACTAACAAAGCTCAGACGTTGGACAAGAAGAACGAGCAGTACAAAGTGTTTATATATTGTTATTGTTATTAACAACCAATCAGCTCCAATTCCATAACAACAAAATGAACAAAAGATAAGTGAGAAGTTTGGCAGGGTGTGGAACCCTCAAAAACCGCTGGACAAATGTAGTCCCATCTCAATTCTTCCCTCCAACCCAAACCCAAGTTATTGCAGCATTCGTACTTCCACTATCTACAGGTTCTGCACCTATCTTCCTGAAGCCTCAAGCATCTTAAAAAAACTACATTGTAGAGACATCAAATTAAGAACAGGCACGTACTAGCAGCAATTAGACTGATCACCCAAACATATTCTTGACCATGTGACCTATTGATATATAGAGTAAATAGGCTTGAAGTAAGCTGTCCCAAAGACAGACAGCAATCAAAAGTTAAGCAAGTAACCACCATGCAAGGGCAAGTGACCAGCACATGGGTATTTGAAGGTTCAAAGGCTAATGCCTTTAGGCCTAGGGATGATCGACATGCAAATCCAGATAATCAAGTACCAGAATGTCATAATAAGTCAGATGGGTATGAAACCTGCTGATTGGCAATGGTATTTTACTTAATGATTTCTTGTTTCCCTAAGTCAAGATTTGAGTTCTCATTTCTATACAAGTTATATAATCTCATTACAGAACTGTCAAAGAATAGAATTATAGTTTTAGTTAAATATCTTCATGTCATGGGAATTGTGTGATGCAATAAACCATTAAGTGAGATTTAGATCATCTTGGATGTGTTGCTCATATGTTTCCAGTATTCTAGGTGCAAAGCTCAGACTTCTCAGTGTTGACAATCCCACAATTGAGTTCAAGGATACCCACATTTCGCATTCAGTTCCCTTCTAATTTGTGTTCGTACACAAACTCGATTTGTTGCCATTTCCAAAATCCTGTGCTACTAACATGTTAACCTCTTGTCTTTGGCACCTATGTGCTGCCTCTAACAGCACTGGTGATATTATACCATATTTTAAAATTATTTAACACATGGTTGAACAACCAAAAAATATTCTATTAGCGAGTATCAATCTTAGCAAAACATAAGTTCCATCATTTCATTTGCATACAAACAGCAAAGACCGCCAATCCTTCTTTTCAAATAAGATTTTTCTTGCATCAAATGAATTCTCAACCCATAAGAACCATAGTTGTTAAAAGCAAGCGCACCTAGGCTCTGAGGCTCATAAGGCTCAAGGAGTTGGGCCTTTTTTAAAGTCGAAGCTAGGCATATTTACGAGGCTCACTAAGGCACCTTGGTTGAGGCGCCTTAAATTAGAGTTATTAAATACCAAGTCAAACCCCAATATTAAATAAGTTTTTTCATCGTCATATCTTCTAGACTTCTTAAGAATGAGTTATTAAACAGATGATATAAGCCAAAGTGTCAAACCCTAATATTAAATACCCAGTTCTTGTAAATTCAAGCCTCTTTCTCTATAAATACCCAGACCTTAAAACTTCTCCCTCATGGTTCATGCTTTAAACCCAACCCTTCTGCCTCTATCGAAGTACTGTTGGTCGTTGCACCAGTACTTGTTACATATTTGACTTGTGTATAACTGTATGTGTGTATATATATAACGTTTTATAAGATGCGCCTCACATTCCTGAGACCCGCACCTCACGCCTAGGCCCCTGGACCCTTTGCGCCTAAGCGGGACTTGATCCTCTAACAACTTTGATAAGAACATAGTTTTACTGTCGAACACATATAGGTTCACAATTTCAAGTAGTTTAGTCATCAACAGATATAGATCAATAAACCAAAGCTAGCTCAATAAGAAAAACAATTTAGATACATCTATAGCGATTGAAAGTAATAGTCACGTGTATAATATTACTTGTAGTTGGCTTTTATATGGAATTTGACATAGAGAATTCTCAAACCCAAAATGTACTTGATAATTGAACAAATTTCAAAATTACCTCTAAAGCACTTGGAGGCTCCACCTCCAAATTCAACACCATACATAAACAAACATCCACCACAATCTAACAAAACAAACCCAATTATGAGTTTAGAAGTTTAAGAATTACTTCAAAAGCAACACCTACAACTTCTAATCAAAACACAAAGAAAGTGGAAACCTTACTTCCAATCCAAAGCAATACAAAAGTACAGAGACCTAATTTTTGATTAAACATAAAATCAAATACCTATCACCACGTTTACATAGAACCCTAAAAACAATTTAGAAAACTGCCATTTGTCTAACCAGCAATTGGATGCAACAGGGAGTCGCACTCTCAGCAATCCACGTACTCGTCATCGTCTTATGGGATTAACTTCAACATTCAGCCAATGTTATTGGTAACATTATGTAATTCCCTAATACCCATAACCAAAAAATACAAACCCACCAAAATCCCTAATACCATACCTTCAGAAATGTAAAGAAATAAAATAATACAAAAGATGAAACCAATGACATAAAAAAAGGGCTGTAACTTTACACATATAATTCATCAATTTACAGACCCAACATACAAATAATAGTTTATATAAACTGTACAGAAGACCCACAAGAATCAATTCTCTTAAAATCCAATCAACACAACAAACCGTCACTAGAATCTAAAGCTAATTGATTGTCATAAAACAGTTGAGAGTCTAAATTCCAAATTCAACCTATTTTACAAACAACTTAAAGCTAATACTTAAAAAAAATCCGCATATACAAGGAAAATGCAATAGAAACAACCAAAAATTTAGATGATGAATAAATTCCAGACTATCGCCATAGATATGAGATTTTGTTGGCTTTACTTGGAAAGCAGCAGATTGTGGTGAAGTGGTGGATGCGATGATTGCTGTGGTCGACTCATTTGGATTTTCAGGAGATCCCATTTCGTAAAAAAACCCTAACCCTCATAAACTTTTTGTGCATCCTCTCACTCTATTTCCTTGAAAGTCTTTTAAACAGTGTAGGGTAAAAATTAAAAATGGGTTTTTCTCCCTCTTGATCTTGGTGAAACTGACGATAATTGCATAAATAAAAATAAGGAATAATTTTCCTTTAATTTATGCAGTGTAAAATTCAGGAAAAAATAAATGAAATTGAGAGAAATGTGGGTGGAGAAAAGGGGCGGGATTTTGAAACATATGATTGAGCGGGAAGTAGTTTATTAGGGTATTTACTTGATGGACTTTTGGGCCAACAGAAGATAAGATGGATGGATGTATGTATGTAGCATGTATACAATACAATCCACCAAATAAAAACCTCCAACTCAAATGAACAAATTGAATGGTTTTTTATTAAAGTGAGTGTCTATCGTAACTAATTTCACATGACCCTAGTGGTCGTTAGGGAAGGTGAACACTAGAAAGCAAACCTGGTTGATGTGTGACTGTGTTTCAGAGTTGGATGTTTTAGTAATGTTTTTTATTCAACCATATATGATTAAATGTTGTGTATTTAAGTCGTAAGGAGTAATTACGTTTGGTCTTTAATTGACTACTGACTGTTTAGGTTAGAAGGATGTCTTGGAGAGGATGATCGGTGTCAAATGATCCTTATCGTTCACCAAACATATAACTTGTCCTTGGTTTCTTGTAAATGATTATGTACGAGAAAATCAGTAACAAAAATAGTATCTTTCTAAGAATTTAATGGATGCAATAAATGTTGTAAGTTACATATATATGACCAATCGAACTTGGAATTGGATTACATGAATATGTAATACACACACAAAGAGAGTGCATGGTTGTAATGAGTCAAGCAATTAGCTTGAGGTCATTTGGTTCATTAATTATAGAGTTCAAAGTCATGCTTAAACACAAAACGGTCCTCGATTAATTTCATGAGCTAATTGAGCTTGAATTCTAGGTCGTAACAAAATACTCAAACTAATAAACAAAACATCAAGCTTGACATTGATATAGTTTTCAAGTTTGAACACAACAATGAAAAAATCATTTGAGGTTGAACTTGATTTATGTAAAATAATAAGTTAAGGGAGAAGCTACACATGGTAAAGAGTAATGAAGTCTAATGACTAAGATGTAATAGTTAGAAGAATGTAGACTTGGATATAGTAGGGGAGGAACATGTTTGAATCAGATACATATTCATCAACCCCTGAATTTCAGCTAGGAAGTTGAGTGTGAATGATAAATCTAGTCATTGTGGCCATTAGCAAGAATCAACAACTATAACTCTCTTAGTACATCTATAAGTCATGCCGAAACTAGAAGGAGAAGCATAGGAACATTATAATAAAACGTTAACATGGAAATATCATTTATGTTATCATGGAAATGTTAATATGAATTAAAATAAGTCAACATACACTGACATATATTAACAAGAAATGTTAACATACGTCATCACATTAACTTATGAGAACATCCGCTAACAAAGTATTTCTTACATTTCTCACAAAAATTTGTTTTCTCACCCGAAATCCAACTCTATATATACCAATTGTGTATCCCCTGCGATACATCAGGGTATACAACTTTATTGCAAATTGAGAATGTATAATTGATACAATTTCCTATTCAAAAATTCTAAAGTTTATGAATCGTTTTGTCATATTTACAGGTTTTGTTTTTCTATAATGAATATTCATTACAAAAATATCAGTGTTTTATAGTTTTTTTCAACTTTATCTACATAAGGATAATTCAAATATATACCTATTAGTCAATTTTTTAAAATAGATTCCTTGAAATAAACGGAATACCTTTTAGTCAGAATGTGTGAATTTTGTTGTTTAAAATACCAACTTATGTATTATTTTAAAGGTAAAAGTATAAAAAACCCAATGGACTTTAGTGTTTGGAATGATTAAGTCATTGGACAATTTTTTGGAACAAATAAGTCCTTGGACATTGCAAAACCTGTTAAATAAGTCATTGGACTTTCTAAATCTTGTTACATACATCCTTATAACCGATAAAACTTGTTAATATAGTAAAATAATGGAAAAGTCTAAAAAGACAATGGACTTTCATATTTTGAACGATTAAGTCTCTAAACATTTTTTGAGCCAAAAAAACACTTACATCTATAAAATGAAACAAATATCTTGTGATAACCGGGTTCAGGTTATATAATTGAAGGTAATTATTTGAAAATATTTGAGATATTGGTTACGTGATTATCTATACTATCTTATAAACCAGATTTATCAAAAGTCTTAAAAATAATTTTTAATGCACAAAATCTTAAAAACAACTCATAATGCATTAAGTAATATTACTTTATGCTTTCAGTCTTAAAATCTCTTAATCTACAATTAAAATAACATACAGCACAAGTTACCTATGTATATTATTACCTTTTCTTTTCATGTTCTCAAGATACTTTTGACACATTTCACTCATTTCTTCACCCTCTCATAACTTTATGTCTTCTCCCCATCTCCCAAGGTGAGATTCAAACTGATATTCACCATGAGCTATTAAAAGGTCTCTCATTTATCTCCCATTCAATTGCTCTAGAACTCTTGGTCTCGCTCTCGATCTCTTGATTTTTTGCTTTTTGTGTAAATTGAACACATTTGTGGAGTCGTTTAAATATGTTGGATTTGAAATATATTGGATTTTAAACTGGCATACAATTTTTTCATCGATAGACAGTAATTGGAACCATAACTCTTATTTATTCAAATTGTATTAATATGTAAAGACCAAGTGTAACTCATATCATTATTAAATCTTCTCTAATAAAACCAATGAAACTTCAAAATCGTTAAAATTCACGACTCCTGCCGCATTACGCAGGTACACAACTAGTTTGTTTATTAAGATCCATGATGCATGTATATGTGTATATATGCATGCATGTGAATGTGGAGGGGAGTGTGGGGGGGATTTTATATTATTGAGTATTCACCGCCTGATTTTGGGAAGTATTTAAAGTTGAAATTTTGGAGAAGGCAATCTTAGTTGCCATTTTTAGAAAGAAACTGGGAAAAGAGAGAATTTTGTGTTTGTGAGAAGAAAGTTGTGATCAAATTGGAAGCAATTTCTGTATGATTTCATCTTCAAATTCTTTGCTGAATTCATCTTCAAATTTGCATAAGGTGAGTTTTTACAGCAGTCTTTGAATTCAAATATATTATTGTTGTTAAAAATAATGGTTTTCATGTTAAGAGTTTATGAACAGATCTATTGTATATATGTTGTATATTCTTATGATTGGTCCAATGAGGGCTTGTTATTAGACAAGTGTTGTTCGATGAGGGTCCCTTATCGCATAAGCTTTAATCCATGAGTACATTTATGATTTTATGTGTTGTCTGATGAGGACTTTTATCAGACAAGGTGTTATCCGGATTGGGCATCTTATCGCCCAAGTGTTTATCGGATTGAGTATTTATGGTTTTAAGTGTTGACCAGTTTGGATGTTTGTCGCATAACGTTTTGTCCGATGAGGATGCTTATCAAACAAAGCATTGTCCGGATTGAATATCTATTATTCAAGTGTTGACCGGTGAGGATGTTCATCGATCATAGTATTGACCGGTGAGGGTGTTTTATCACCCCAAGTGTTGTTCGAATTGAGTGTTGGCTGATGAGGGCAGTTTATCGCCCAAGTGTTGTCCGATGAAGGGCAGTCATCGGTCAAGTGTTGTCCGGTGAAGTGGTATCCGGACAAGTGTTGTCCGATGAGGACTAATATTACCCATTTGTGTATCTTTCAAATGTTGATTTTAAATTGAGGAAATGTACTATTTCTTTCAAAACTGTTGAGAAGAGTAAACTGTTTTTGAAAGATGTTTTGAGATGACATTGGAATTGAATTTAGAATTGTGAAAGTTCTTGAGATAAAGTTTTTTGAGATGAAACTGTTTTTAAGGCCATTATTAGCTAAAACAACAGATTTATCTGCATTTAATAAGGAAACAAGGATGTCATATCAAGGAGAGGTGTACCATGGGATAAGGGTGACATTGTTGGGTTTAAGCTTGTGCTTTATTGTTGTATTCAAGTGTTTCTCCTTTGTTAATTTTGTCTTAGTAGTTGTAGGTATAAATATATTTCTTAATTGTAATTAGTGTAAGGATTCTCATTTCTAATCATTCTTGAAAGTTTAATACAATTACTTTTGGCTAAGATTCTCTCTAATTGTTCATCTTTTCTACTTTGCTAAAGTGATAATCTAATTGAACAATCTGGGAATTACAATCAAGATCTAAATTTTTTTAAATCAAATAAAATGACATCGAGAGAAGCGATGGTCATAGGAACTGATACAAAACTACCAGTTCTGTTTATAGGCGATTATAATCAACGGAGAGACAAATTACTAAACTTCATTGAAAGGCAAAAAGATGGGAAATTGATCATGGAATCTTTAATGGAGGGTCTAACTATATTTTGGAAGGAAATTCCTGCAATAGCTAAGAAGAATAGACCTGCTAAAATTGTACCAAAAGAAAAATCAAGATATAGTCAACCTGAGAAAGAAAGAGCACATAATGATGTTATATGTAAGTCATATATGATGAAAGCCTTAACAAATGACATATACACAAGCATAGACAGCTACAAGAAGTCAGATAAAAGTATGTGGGATCAAATAAAGAAGATGATGATGGGATCTAAAGTTGGTACACAACTAAAAATTACCAACTGCATTACTAGTTATGAAGAGTTTAACGCTAAGGAAGGAGAAAGCCTAGATGATGTGTATGAAAGGCTAACCAGACTTTTGAATGAGCTAACTAAGAATGAGATCATTGAGACCACAATTGAGATTAGTATTATATTTTATTAGGTTCGAGTATGCGCGTTATTGTTGTATTCAAGTTCTCCGTATTTTACATGCTTTGTAATAGCTTAGCTTTATTTCTTTCCTTAGTATAAATAGTAGTTTCCTTTGTAATTGTAATTAGCAATTTCATTAATGATTCTGTAATATGAGTTTAGCTTATTGTATGTATG